TTAACTTTGAAAAGTGTACAGGGCTTGTATTTATCAAGTGTCTCAGAAACACTCCTAGGAATCGTGCTGAATATTACCTGAGGACTAAAACCACTCTTACCTAAGAGTAGTCTTAAAAGTTATTTATGAAGTGTCCCACTCTTATTTTCAGTGAGGAGAAATCGTACTCCAAAGAATGAGTGTGATGTCACTGTTTTTAACACTTGGAGCTGCAAGGCAGACATTACAGGGACGTGTTGTTATGACAGTTGTGTGTAGTTTGACAGTGGAAAATTGAAATGCTGACATCAGCACAACTTGTCAAGTGAAGGCTGTGAATACATAAAAAAGCTGGTAACAGAAAAGACAATTATTCAAAAGTTTATTGTGATTTATACACATTTTTTTTGGTGATAGGCTGTAAGTTTTTTGGAAGGCCATTCATAACGAGGTTGACCTGTGTGACATTAATTTCATCAGCCCTAACCAATCACATTTTTAATGTCCACTTTAAACATCCTCTTCAATGTTTAGGGCAATTTTAATGTGTGTGCCACCAGCTGGTTTACACTAATTCACACTGAGCAACTGGAAAATGCACAAATCAGTGCATTATCTAAAAGGAGGAGAATGTTGAGCCTGTTAGGAGTGATTTTCTACTCCGAGATCCAGTTTGCGAGCATGTCTACATGTTACCTCAGAAATTAACTGTAAAATTTGCAGAAAGCTTCCAAACATGTTTTAAGATATGTGAAAACTCTGTTTTGAAGAATATTTTCTCATGTGTTTTTTCCATAAAACATTTGATTACTCTTTTAAATTGACAGATATGCCATCTCTCTTAGATACTCCAGATTCTTTGAATGTGCAGCTATTTTACATCCAGTCAATTTAAGGTGAGCACAAAGACACTTCTCACCTTCCACAGATGAATGTGAACACAAACCTACTAGTGTCACACTCTGTACATCCATCATTCTGCACAGTGGAGCTCAGGCATCCAAGTGAGGGACCAGTAAGCAAAGCACAATTCTGATTGGAGTGGGCCATTGAGTAAGGATGTTTAAAACCCAGGTTTTTATCTCTTTAGATTTGAAATTTTTTTGAAGATCAAACATTTACAAACGCAAATAGTGAATTAAAGTATTTGCCATCCAGATTGTAACCTGTTGTAAGGATACAGTACCTGCAGTCATTAATTACAACTGAATGTCACAGTGTCACTTCCACCGTGCCAGACAATGAAAGCTAGTGGCGATAGTGAGCCATTGCACAGTTACTTGCCTTTCAGTGTCATCACCAGGTGCTGAAAATAGGAATTTATGTTGCTGATTGGTGAGCAGTCAAAACCAACTGCAGAAGGCTGGCACAATGGAACCTCTCTCAATCCCATCATAACTTTGTCATGTATTCTGTGCACTGATGATGCACAGAACAAATGTGCATTGTCATGTTGTATTATTTGCCTAGGACTAGTGTTTTTGGAAAGGCAGACAAGATTAGTTGGTGCATGCACTTGTTATTCTGTGTGAATGGCAGTGTTTAGAAATGGTTTAGTGAGTCAGTGCCAGTATTACACCCATCAGTCTCATCCTTCTGACAGGGCTGTATAACAGTAACACTGGTGAGGTGATTCTCTACAAGTCCATCAACAAGTAACTACTGTTGTATTAAATGTGCTGGATTTTCTTCTCATGAGTGTTTTGTGGACAATCATCCTTGATTTTGTTCCTTGTATGTATTGTACTCCAACTCTAAGGAATATGGTTTTGTGGACTAGTATTTAGCTCAGCTTGAGTACCGTAGAACAAATATAAACCTTTTGTAAACATGTTACTACATTTAGAACATTAAACTTTTTTCTTCCCATAAATCTAAAGTATGACAAAGTACACAGGTTTTCAGTGATATTTAAGTATGGAGAACGGTGAACGTTTTACCATGGCCTTCCCAGGCCACGGTAAAACGTTCCCCTTATTTTTTTAAAACCATTCCTGAGTTGACTATCCTCTGTGCTTTGGATCATTGTCTTGTTGAAGAATCCACCGTTTCTTCATTTTTAGCTTTCTGACCGATGGTAGGAGGCCTTGCTTTAAAATCGTCTGATATTGGGCTGCATTCATTCTTCCTTCCACTTGATATAGAGATGCGGTGCCGGATGCAGACATACACCCCACAACATCAGCGAGCCTCCACCACGTTTGACTGTGGGAATGATGTTCCTCTACACATAGTTTTGTTCTCGCCACACATACCTGTGTGAATTATGACCCAGTAATTCAACTTTGGTCTCATCAGACCACATAATCCTGCTCCTTAGCAAACTCCAGGTGTACTGCCTTGTCTTGAAGTAAGCAGTGGCTTTCAGCTGAGACTTGACTACCCTTGACTGTGGAGATGTGGACTTGTATTCCAGTTGCCTCTAAGGACTTTGTCAGGTCCCCTGCTGTTTGTTTTGGATTCTTATGTAGCTCTCTAGCAAGTTTCCTGGTGCCTCAGTCAGTTACAGTATCAGTGAAAACTTGTGGATCAATGTGAAGAGGGCTGTACATACAGTAGCAGACCACCAAGCAATCAAGTGGACTTTTATGGCAATTTTATGTGGAACAAATATAACTGAATGAAATTAGGCTTTTCATTGCTAATGAACCTAATTTAAAATTTAACACATCGGCCTACACAACCTGAGTCCGATTGAACAGATACAGTATCCATGCCAGCCGGCACAATACATCAGCCCCACTGAGTACATAGCCTATTAATACCATCCTGTACAACACATGTTACACTTGCTGAATGTGAAACAACTTGAGACTCTGGAGGATAATAGATAACATAATAACACTTTTACATGTAGAGTTTTGTTGGAACAAGTAGAAATAGAGTTGGCAAGCCATGAACAGAGAACCCCACCTGTGGTTCTGAAATTTACTGAAACACTGATTTGACTGGTGATGCACCCAGGCCAGCTGCATGGCTGAAGCATGCTATAAAACATGTTACCGGTGTGAGGACAAAATGTTTGCTTTGGTTCTAACATAGGCTTTCTTGGTTGCTGTTTCTTCTGTAGAAGAACATGACATTGAAGCCCCAGGAGTGCAGAGACAACCAAGCAGGGCCCCTGCACAAGAAAAAGCCTGCCAGAGTCCCCAATGGCCTGAGCCTGGAGCCATATAAGAACAATCACCACCACCTCCAGCCTTCAGACCAGGAGAACAACCCCAACCTGGCACATGCACATGGCAAGAGGAAGAAGAAACACTTGAACAAGAAACACTCAATGGTGAGTTTAAGATGGTTTATCTTACTACTGCAGAGTATTAATATAGGAATCCTATCATTTGTGCAATAAATTGTATATTTGCATTGTGAGCGGTGATAAGAAGAGTATAACCTTTTAGAAATTATGTTTTGCATGCATAACATAATTGCATTTTGTTCCCTGCAAGATGCATAATTGCATACAAATGGATTTTAAGACAGTGTAGCTAATGCTACAAGTGAAGTCTGTGAAATATGAGAGCTTTTCTCTCAAATTCATTTTGGCTTTGGTAACTAGGGTTATGTACCTTGTATTACTTGTGCTGAGAAAGGACAGTTGCTGATAGAATGACTTCCATGCTTTGTGTTGATGCACTGAGTTTGTGTTGTATCAAATCTGTAGCCAGGGGATATGTAAAACCATTATACTGTCAAGCCACTGCATGGGCGACTCCACAGTTCATTGTTCAGTCCACAGGCAGTGGAGGTTGGATGTTTGCTCATGAAAACACAGCAGGTAGGTTTTAGTTTTTCAGTAAAATGTGCATCTATGAATGAGGTTTAGAGCTTTTACATTGACCATTTGTTACTGTTGCTTCTTTGGTTGTTTGTGTAGTTTCTGTAGTCAGGCCAAGATATTCTTTAAAGAATAATGAATATGTTATTGTAAATCCATAGTCAGTGCCAGTGTGTCAGTATAAATGACAATAGTTTGTGTTACTGTGGGTTCTTCATGCAGGTTTAGCATTTCAATATGTATAGTGGCAGTATATTTACATCCATATTATATGTTAGGTTTCCATGCGTCTTTGTTATGACATTAAGTAAAAATGAAGCCAAGGTTTTATGTGGTGAATGTCCATTAAACCATCTCAAGAGAACAGTGACACTGTAGTAATCTCTCAGTGCAGCAGCAAGTTGGACCTTATTGGTGTTTACAGCTGTGGTGTTGGTTTAATGATTACCATTGGTTCTGCTGTTGGCTTTTATGAGTGAATCCATCCAGCATTTTTGAAGTATTCTCACAATGTTTGGTACACAATCTCTCTCTATATTATAATTACATAAAAACAAGCAAAACTCATCTGTGAAAAATAAGGAGAAGGCAGAAAGCAGGAACAAGTGAACATCTTGATCACATTTCTGTGTTTCATGAAAGTACTGTAAAGGTTTTAAGGATCTAGACAGATGAAATCAGCAGGTGTACTCTGAAGATGCACTTTATTTTGAAATGTCAGTTGATATACCTTATTATATCCCCATTGACAATGTGTTGCAGATCTCATTTTTTCACATCCTGCCTGAGCTGCCCTGACTGTTGAGGCACTGGTCTGAGCTTAAAGTTGGCTGATGTGTGAAAATGACTTTACTGGAGAGTTTTAAGGCTTTGCCATTTTTAACTTATATTGGGGTTTACAGTGAAATGAAGTCAAAGTGGTGCTTCAGTGTGAAATATAGCTTTAAGGGTGAGCGTATATCAGTGTGTGCCTGAACATCTTTTTGTGTGTAGCAAGGTGACAAGGTCACTAATGAATATTTATGGTACGCTTATACAGTGCTGTTTCTCCGCCAGCAAAGTACTATCTCTTGCAGCACTACCTACTGTTTATACACACATTCAGACAACAGAGACTCTGAGGTTATGCTTTGCCATTTTCCTGGTAGAAGGTCAGTCTTCTTGAGCTGCACATTCAAGGACATGTTTGTGTGGGTCACAGCAAGACAAGCAGACCGGGGGGAAAACAAAGACACAGGCACACCATTTACTTAAATAAGCATTGTCTGCGCTCCGGGGGTTTTGTAGGAGCATTATATATACAGTATTTGGTGAGTGGTTTGGTGCAGCCTTTGTCCTGTTGGTCACTGATTTGTAGGTTATGCAGGTTTTGGCTTGTTTAGATAGATTTTGCTCAGAATCTCCTAGATTTTCTCAGGTTCACTACGTACACCAAGGCAAAGTTATACCCACATAACCCTACAAATACAATGTGTGGATGTTTTTCATCACACAGTTTAGCAGTTGTGGCTGATCAGTGCTGCTGAATACCTGGTTCCCTCTGTCCGTAGTCATTAGCTACAGTATGTGGAGAGGTGTCCTACCTGCTTTATAAGGCTCCTTTTTTAACATATTGCATTAGGGTCACTTTCACGGTTTTCTTATACTCTATAGCTGTGATGTCTGTACATACCGTACAGAATTGAGTGGTTAGAGTCATGTATACGTGAGATTGTGCTTTAGTCATGAATAAGTATAATGAAACAAATCTGTTCATCTGTACCCTGTATTTATACAGTATGTGTCTTGTGTCGTTGGCTTCACTGTGTGTGTTGGAAACTTTGGCAGGTGGCTATGGTTGCATGGTGGTCGTGAGTGGTCTTGTGGCTTTTAACAGAGGAAGTCCAACCCTGATGTTCTGAGCGCACTCTCTCTCTCTCTCTCTCTCTCAAGTTCATAGTGTTTATTTGTCATATGCACAGTTAGGAAACGTGTTTCCCTGTACAATGAAATTCTTACTTTGCTGTCCACA